GTAAATCCCAGGCCCAGGCCTTGAACTTTTGAGAGCTTGTTTGGAGGGTCTAGCAGGGGAGTGAAACTACTTATATACCCTTGACAGAGGAAACTGTCCTCCTCTATTGGGTATGGTCCTTCTCTGACTGAGCTCACAGCTTCACTAGTGATGCACATGGAGCGGTGAGGGAGGAAGGGGGACACCCACCTAGGCATCCAGATCAGCCAGATCAACCCTGGTGATCAATGGGGTGACAGGTGTCGCAGCCAGATCCCCTTCTCCTTGAGCTTTTGACTCTCCTGCCTTAGCCTCCTGAGTAGCTAGGACCGCATGCATGTGCTATCCAGCTTCCTCCCCATTCCTGGTGTTCTGTGTTTATGTGTGTACCTTCCACGGGACTGGGTATTTAGTTTGAGTGAGGAGGGGGCCTCACCCATCTTGAGTCTCCTGTATCACTTAGCTCTGTGTTCAGCCAATAGTGATGCGCCCACACATACCTGCACACGCATGTGAGCTCACACCCAGAATCTTGTTTCTCAAATGTGTGACTGTTTCATGGATGAGGTTGCCAGGTGGGGTCTGGGGAGGGATGACTAGTGCTTCAGGGAAGATGGCTGAAACTTACAAAGCACTCCAGAGGTTGAAAGAGGTCGGAAATCAACAAAACGAAACCGAGTGGTGATTCACTCATTCAACAAATATTTACTGAGCACCAACCGGATGCCAGGCGCTTAGAGGATACAGAAGTGAGCCCAAGAGACAAAATTCCTGCTCTCCTGGAACTCACAGTCCAGTGCAGAGAGACTGACAAACAAGAGTGAGTAAGATAGAGGGCATGCTAGGAAGGGATGGGTGTTGAGTATGAGCTATGATCAAAATAGAGGGTGAATGTTTAAATTAAAACATTTTATTATAGTAGAAGACACGATGCTATTAGTCCCCCTCAAAATAGTCCCTCTCAAAATAGTCCCTCTTGCTTTGAACACACTTATCCCACTGTTCTTGCCACTTTCTCATGCAGTTCTGGAAGTCCTCTTTCAAGAGTGTTTTTAGGGACTGTGATACAAAACACAGTGAATGTTACTGCAGAGCGCTATCCAACTGGAAGGCAGGCTCCTAAAAACATTATGGTGTGTCCTCTTCCACCTTATTCACAGGATCTGGCACCAAGTGACTTTTTATTCCTCTTCAAAGTCGAAATGATCACGAAAGGTAAATGTTTTGAATTGATTTGGGACATTTTGAGGTAGTCACAACATCATGACTAAACAGGTGCATGAAGGAGAGCTTCCAAAACTGCTTCAGAAAGTGGCAAGAGATTCAGGGAGGGCTAGGGGAGAGAAGGGAAGGGAGCAGCAGAAGAATTAAGATGTGTTATGTGCGTGTATCAACTCTCTATGAAGAATGTAGTTGCAAACATGTACTAATAAAAATAAAAATTTAAAAAAGGTAGGAAGAACAATGGGATAAATACATTTGAAGCGAGGGGGAGTATTTTGAGGGGAATTAACTGTCTCTTTTATAGTAATAAATTAAAAAATTTAAAACAATGGGCTCAGGATTTAGCTCAGTGGCGCTGCCTGCCTCACAAGTGCAAGGTCCTGAGTTCAATCCCCGGTACTGAAAAAAAAAAAAAAAAAAAAAAGATTAAAACATTCACCTCATGTTTTGATCACACCTCTTGGAAAGAAATAAAGTAGAGGAGGGCATAAGAATTGGGGTGGGGGAATGGCCTCTGTGCTGCAGTTTTGGTTTAGGGCAGCCAGGAAAGGTGGTTTCTCTTTTTTTGGTACCGGGGATCGAACTCAGGACATTGCACTTATGAGGCAGGCGAGGTGCCACAGAGTTAAATCCCCAGCCCATGTGGCTCCTTTCTAAAAAATTAGTGCATATTAGTTACCTAAAATAGTGGGTGTCATTTGGTATATTCATATATGCATATAATATACTTTGATAATTTCCCCTTCCATTATCCTCTTTGGTCTTCTCTCCCTCCTCCCCTTGATCCCCTTCATCTTCTGGACTGATCCTGAGAAGGTGACTCTTGAATGAAGGCCTGAAGAAGGTGAGGGAGCAGCTTGTTTGAGAATCTGGAGAGGAGCAGTCTGGGAAGAGGAAACAGCAAGTGCAAAGGTCCTGTGGCAGTATCCTGTCATGTTTGAGAATAAATTAGAGAATAAACTAGGTTGGGTCTTTTTCAGGCTCTGTATTTTTTTCTCCTTACCATACTTAAAATTAAAGATTTGTCTGTCTAATTAATTCTTTAAAGTCTATTTTTCCACCAGACTCTTAACAGCTTCTGGGCCATAGTAGGTACTCAACCACATTTTGTTGAGTAAACTAATGACATGACGTTTGGGGAAAATCAGCTGCACAAATGAGAACACACTTGAGAGCAGTTAGATAGAGGCTGGGGAGTCTTAGCTGTGGCCAACGTTGAACTTAGGGTGCAAGAGGGGCTGTTAGTTGGAGGCTACCTGAAGCCATGCTGCCAGGGCCTCTTCTGGAGGTGAGGCTGGGCCAAGCAGGGGCTGCAGAGTTGAGGCATGTTTGAGGGTGGTTAACTGGAGCAGGGGAGAGAAGGAAAGACAGAGCCCACTAGGACCTCTACATGGCTGGGTTTAATGACAAATCCGCAGTGTGAGCCCTTTGTAGTTTTGCTGCTGCAGGACTGAAGTCTCACTGGGCACGTCTGTGTGCAGATACCAGTCACTCAGTGGGTGGGGGCCTGATTCCAGTCCAAACAGTTGTTCACTGCATGATCCTTTAGAGGATTTTCCCACAGAGGAAGCATCTGGTATAGCAGCATTTACAAAGCTGGGAACTGCAGAAGGTCCCTGGGAGTGACTGTCATGGGTCCAAATCTACCTCTTCAGGGCTGGGGCTGTAGCTCAGTGGTAGAGTGCTTGTCTAGTGGGGTTCAATCCCTAGCATAGGGAAATGAAAACCAAAACCCTCATCTCGTCAAATAAATACTGATGCCTAGTGGATGTCAGCCCCTGAGCTAGGCGGAGTGGTGAACCAGATGACACTGTGAGGTTATGATCAAGTGCCCAGTGGTATTTCCTAAGGAAGTTTGAGGGGCAGGTGGGAAGAAGAGGAAAAAGGCTCACTTAGAGCTGTTCTTAGTCATGGTCTGAGCTGGGTGGGGGTGGTGGCTCCATCCCGAGTAGCTGTGTGGGTGGCCTTGGGCAAATCCCTCTGATCCCACAGTGAGGGCCAAAGCAGACTTGGAGGTCACCTGGTGCAACCCTGTAGGTTACGCAAGGTGTGGAGTCTACACCCCGCCCCACACCCTGCATGGCCTTCGTCCTCCAGGGTAAAACCAAGGTATTGGGACAGATGATCTTGGCGCTCCTTCCTGGCTCTCATATTTTGTAACATTATAAATATGGGGAAGTTGTGCATTGGCAGATTTGCTCCAAGCCAATGGAGGCCTCTGGTCTTAACACGGAGAGGGAGGGATAGTAGCATTTAGTCCCCACAGTCCTTTCTCATGTGCACATTTGGGGCTCAGCACTAAGGCCCAGACCTTGCCTCCGCAAAGTGGTCCGGGGGGAGGGTGCAGGGCGGTGTCCCTGTGGGACCCAAGCTGTTTCCCAGCTCTTCATTCTCCACACTGCCTCCCCTCTCCTTGGGATTCCCAATGCTCTCCTGAATCTTTTGTCTCCTCTTCTCTTCCTCACCTGGTCCCCCACAGTCGAATTTCTTTGCTCCCTCCACGGAAGGCCCTGTCTATTCCTGCCCTTTAGTGTCGCTTGGGGCTGCTGATGGGTGGGCTGGGGGAAGGAGGAAGGGATTTAGAGTCCTTTGGTGGGAGGGGACATCTGCTCATGGCTGTCTGGTCTGGGGTCCTAATTGCTGAGCCCGGCTTCCTCACAGCACAGCCACTTGAGTGTAGTGTGCCGAGTCTCTGGCTGTCCTGGCTTTGAGTTGCACTGGCAATGACCCCAGTCTCCTACCTTCCAAAAGCACCAAGTTCTAGAAAAGGGGAGGGGGACAGGGAGAAATAGCTTTCCTGCCATGTAAAGAAGTTGCAGACATTCCTAAAAACCAGAGTCGTCCAACTCTGCTGGCCAGCAGGGAGGAGTCTACATGGAGGCTGCTGGACCCCCTCCCATTGGGGATCTTCCAGGGTGGGAGGTGGTGCTAAAATACGAGTGCTCCTCCTCTGGCTAACAGTTGCACTCCAAGACGGAATCCATCCTGTGGGGAACCTCAAACTCTGTGTTTCTCTCCCAGGGCCTGAGAGTTGTTTTCTAAATGTGCATTTATTTTGGAGCCTGGGTACTTCTGATTTGTACCCTGGATGTGCACGGCTGAGGCCCCAGCAGACGGGCCTGGTGCTGTGTGGGAGAAGCAGGGACACAGGCAGGCTCAGGAGTGCTGCTTCCCTTGGTCCCCGATGGAGACGCCTGCCTCAAGCGGGCGGGGCCTCCTGGGTGACTGCTGGGTTGGGCGAGAAGAGGGACTCAGCACCCTGCTTTTCTGTGTCATTCCCAAATCCTGGAGTACCTCTTAGCCTATGATGGTAACAGCACCTCTGCGGTCCTCCTAGTCCAAGGTGCTGCACTGAGCCTTCCTCCTCCACCTCTTAGAGGGAGAACTTCCCTTTTGAGGCTTCATTTTTCCCTGCCTGGCATCTCTGATGCCTCATTGGAGCCCCACCCCCTTTTCCTCTGCTCCGAGCAAACCTCCCCTCCTTCTCCACCTCCTTTTCCAGGAAACCTTCCCTGAAAGGTCCTCAATATCCTGGCTCAGGGCTGTGGCTCCCCACTGCCCATTGCTGTGGTCCAGGGCTCCAGCTGCTTCCTCGCCTTTGGGGCAGGCAGACTCATCTCTCCTACCAGCTGGGGGCTCCCTGCGCTGGGCCTGGGTCTCCTCCTCTGGCCTCTACACATGCCAGGCATCTATTCCCCAGGTGTGTCAGAATAGGTCAGCCGTACACAGTCAGGCCAAGAGCATCCTGCTCTCCAAGGCCCAGCCCAGGTCTGGGAGGGGATAAAAGTCTCGTGCAAGGGCCCCAGGGCAGGAACACATACACCTTGTCCATCCGTCCATCTGTCTGCTGCTGTGTACCTGCTGTGCCTGCCATGTCTCTGTCCCCGTGCCAACCCCAGAGGGGCTTCAGCACTCGTTCAGCCTGTTCTGCTCTCTCAAGGGGCTGTGGCAGGGGCAGCTTCAGCAGTAGGAGCCTCGTTTCCTTTGAGAGGTGCCGAGGAGGCTCTCGAGGAAGGGCTTGGGGGTCTCGGGGAAGGCTAGAGATGCGGTCTGGGCAAGGGAGTGGTGGGCCTGGGCTTGCCTTGTGCCCTACAGGGGGTATCCAAGAAGTAACCATCAACCAGAGTCTGCTGACTCCCCTGAAGATTGAGATCGACCCCCAGTTCCAAGTGGTGAAGACACGGGAGACCCAAGAGATCCGAAATCTCAATAACCAGTTTGCTTCCTTCATTGACAAGGTGAGGGTCCACTCAGCTTAGCCCCTCTCTCTGTGCCTCCGTCTGAGGAGCTGCTCTTAATGGACTGGGAATGGGAAGGTCTGACCTCTTTCTACTACCCTCCCGATCACTTCTGCAACATGGAAGTCTTCCTGAGACCTAAATGGAGTCTCTGGTTATGCTGATCCTATTGTTCCATGACTGAGGCTCAGGATTAGAGAACCTCTGGCCAGCAGTGGGAAGACCCTCCTGTCAGGGTGGCTGTCATTTGGATGTGCTCAGGTTCTCATGGAAGGGCAAAAGATGCCCTTCCAGGCAGGGTGGGAAGGCAGGGACAGTGGTGCTGACAGGAGTGTCCCCAAAGCTTGACTTAATGGAGGCCATGTCTGGGAGTCCTTCAGGGATGCTTGCTTGGCTGCAGGTTCGGTTCCTAGAGCAGCAGAACAAAATCCTAGAGACCAAGTGGCACCTGCTGCAGCAGCTGGAGGTGAGTGACGGTCCCCAGAGCCTGGAGTCTGTCTTCGAGGCCCACCTGGCCCAGCTCAGGAAGCAGTTGGAGCAGCTGCAGAGAGAACGAGGGACTCTGGATGCCGAGCTGACAACTTTCCAGAAACAGGAGGAGGAGTATAAGGCCAAGTAGGAAACCAAAGTTCTCCCGGGGGGCCAGGAGGGCTCAGAAAGGTCTGAGGCTTCCCACATGCCAGTGCCTGGAAACATGTGATTGCCTCCACTCCCTGCTCTGGGTCCCCTTCCCCAACTCAGAGTCCCACTTGCTGCAGGCCGAAGAGACCACAGCCCCCTGCCTGCCTCAGAGGAAGGGCAGAGTGACCTCTCTCCAATGGGCTGAGGTCCATTCCTACAGGCCACAGTCATAAGGGCCATGTTTCTGGTCAGGCCTGGGAAGGGCTTATTCAAACAAGGCCACAGTGGGGTTTTCTTGAGAAGTTCCTGTTTAGCAGGCTTTGGACTAATGTGACTCAATGTTCTCTGGTCTCAGGGTTGGAAAGAAATCAATTTAGTGAGAACGTCCCTGGGCCCATGGTATGATTCACAGCTGGGCTGTGGTTAGGGTTAGGGTTAGGGCTCCTTACCTAGGTCACCTGGTGGTGACAGAGGCTTGTGTGAGAGAGACTGTGAGCACAGGTGGCCATGTGGCCTTTGGCAAGTCATTTTTCCCTCTTCCAGCTTCAGTTTCCAAAACTGTACACTGGGAAAAATGTCCCTCTTCCTTGATAAAACCCAAGCTGCCTAGCACAGATAGTGGCTATGAGTAGCAATGAGAACCAGCATTTGAATGTGTCCTAGAAACTGCGAATGTGACGTAGTGTCATAGGGGACACTGGTGGAAAGAGTGGCCCAGGGACATAGCTAGGATGTGACAAAACCTCTGGGTCAGGAAAGGAGAGAAGGACGTGGTCACGGGTCCTGCTTTGGGTCACGTAAATTTGAGGAAGCTCCTCTCAGGGAGGGAAGTGGGGGCCGGGCCTGGGGCTCTGTCCCGCACCTGACTGCATCCTTTGCGACTCTCTTGGCAGGGGTGAGCTGGAGGCCCACAGGCATGCCACAGTGGAGAATGAGTTTGGTGTCCTCAAGAAGGTGTGTGTGGGGGTTCACGTGCTCCACGCGGATCCCGAGCCCTCGCCATGCCCGAGCCTGGTCATAGGCTGGGAAAGGGTGGAAACTCTTCCTGATGGAAGATATGCCATCACTTTGCCTTTCCACCCATCCCAGGGGGAAAGGGGACAGCTACTTAGGCACAGGGACCACAAGACAAGACCCAGCTAGGAACTGCCTGAGGAGCTCCAGGGGTCATGGCAGGAGGGGGTGGAGTGGGGTGGTGAGACCGACTTGGCTGGGCTTCACCAAGGAGGGCGGGGTGGGCCGGTGTAATGCAGGCTGGGCTGGAGCAGGGAGAGGGCCTTCTGGAGATGTGATGGGTGGGAGTTGAGCAGTGGGTACCCAGAACTCCGGAGCTGGCTTAGGACTCTCGGAGAGCAAGTGGTGAATACCTGGCTTCTTTCTGTTCCCAGAAGGCAGATGGGACTTTCCTGAGCAAGATGGAGTTGGAAGGCAAACTGGAGGCTCTGAAAGAATTCTTCTGCTTCTTGACTCAACTGTATGAAGAAGTGAGGATCTGCCAAGGGCAAGCAGGAGCGGTGAAGGGGACAGGGTGGACAAAGGACTCTCTGTGGCTATGGGGGAGACTGACCGGGCCTCTTAGGTGGCCTAGATTCGTGGTCCTTCAGGCCTTTGACAATCACTAAAACTTTACTGGGGATGCATCAATGAATAATCAGGCAAAAATCAGACAAAAATAATCAGACAAAAATCACAAAGTTTGCTTTCTACTGGGAGATGGACATATGCACTAGATTTAGCAAATAAATTATACAGTGTGTCAGAAGGTGATAAATGCCCTGGAGAACAGGGGAAGGAGAATGGGAAATGAAGGGCAGATGGCAGTTCCAAATAGGTCTTACTCAGAAGGTAGAATTAGAGTGAAGACTTGAGGGAGGTGAGGAAAATCAACATATGGGTGGGTTTCTCTGATTGCTGGCAGAGACTGCAGCCTGCAGCTGGGAGCACTGGTATGGTTGAGGCAGTGCAAGGAGGCCATCGGGCTGGAGCAGTAGGAGCAATGAGAGAGGAGTAGGACTGGGGTCAGGGGAGTGGCGAGGGCAGGTGATTTAGAGCCCTGCAGGCTATTTTTGATTTAATGTCCAAGTGACAAGAGTCACTAGAGACTATCTCTCTGATCTTTATTTTTAAACAAGGATGCTGAGCCCAGCAAGGCAGCTATATCCAGTGTGAATGAGGTGGGCAGCTGGTGGAGTGTGAACAAAAATTCAAGCACCCGTTTCCCTCACTGAGGGCCTCAGGGAGAGGGAGAGGGGGTGGTAGGCACTGAGGCAGTCTTCCCTGCAGGAACGGAATCAGCTGCAGACACAGGGGAGCGACAGATCTGTGGTGCTGTCCATGGACAACAGCCGCTGCCTGGACTTCAGTGACATCATCGCTGAGGTCCGTGCCCGGTATGAGGAGATTGCTTGGACCAGCAAAGCCGAGGCTGAGGCCCTGTTCCAGAACAAGGTACTGGGGCTGGGGCGGGGGCTTGATGCCGGAAACTTCTGGGTCTTCATGGCCACAGCCTCGGGTGCTGACCCACCTTGGTTCCATTGGGGGAGCTCTGAGAACCTCTCCAAAGGTCCAGGCCTGGCTGGCTGGGAGCGTAGCCCCTCTCCAGGAGGGAGGCTATGCAGGCGAGCCACGGGAGGCTAGCTTGGACTTCAGCAGGCACATTCTCTGTGTCCTGGTCCCAAGCAGTTAACTCACACTGGGAAAAGAGGGTGTGAGGAGGCCTCTCCAAAGGGGCTTGGCACTTCCCATGGTGTTGGGGTCAGAGGTGGCGGTCTTCTCAACCAGTGTTGTTCCCTGTGTTCCTCTCAGTACAAGGAGCTTCAGTCATCAGCTCAACTTCATGGGCATAGCATGAAGGAAACCAAGATCCAGATCTCCCAGCTGCAGCATGTGATCCAGGAGCTTCAGAGTCAGATTTCCAGCCTCAAGGGCCAGGTCAGGTTGCCAAGGCCCTTCCAAGGCCTCTGCTCCCTGCCTTGTGCTTCTGCTGTCCCCAGCTCAGTGGCCTTCTCTTCCTAGCCAGGCTTGCTAGCGACTCTGTGCACAAGGTCTCTATAGCTGGCTGGGGCTCTGGGTCATTTGGGGTGAGGAGAACCTCAAGCTCCCTCTAGCATGAATTCTGGCTTCCTCCTGTGGATTTTAGCCTTCACTTTGGCTTTTCTGGGAGAGCCTTACTACAAATTCCAGCCAAGAGGAACTGTCATATTTGTTACCATGTAGTCCACGTCCAGGTGAATATCTTGCTTTCAACTTCCTGGGGAGAAGGTTAATTTATCTCTTTTCTCTTCTTTTGATGCTTATTCTTCAAACAACTGGAAATATAAAGCCAAATACGAATTTCTGGGTCCCCTGATGGGGAAGAGGGGTGCTTAGAGAGCAGAACGGGGTAGAGGCTGAACTTTCTTAGGTAGATATCTCACAAGGGGTGAGCAGGAGGCGATCCTCTGCTCCTCTGGGAGAGCTCATTCCCAATTGGGAAGGACATGACTTACTACTTGATAAGTATCTGTGCACTCTTATTCCCTGAACCCAAAGGATTGACTTTGAGATCCATGGAGGGTGGCAAGCAGAGACAGAGTTAGGTGAATCCCCCAGCACTGCAGCTGGATTCCCAAGTCACATGTGGTCCACCTACGTACAAATAGGGCCCTCCAGGAAGTTTCTTGGAGCATGAATAGGCCGTTCACCTCATTTTAAACCTTTCATTGCTTGCCATGGGAATGAGGTGCAGGATCTGAGATGAATGAGACCTGGGCCTAGCACTCAGTTTGCTTCCTCATTGTTTTCTCAGTGGAAACCTTGGTCTGGAATCCTCTAGGTGTCATTATGATGCAGATTCCTGGACTTTATGCCAGGCCTGGGGAACCAGAATCTCCAAGCCTGGGTCCCCAAAACCTGTTGCTTCTGAAGCATGTGGTCTTCAGAGCCCAGAGCCACCCTGATGAGGGTCTACTGGGTTCCCAGGCTTGGGATCACAGCTACGAACCCGGAGCCATGATCCTTTCCTGTGAGAGTCCCTCTTCGGGGTCAAGTGCCCCCTTCCTTTTACACAAACCTGGCAGACTGAGGTCCCCTGTGCCAGGCCCTGGTGCGCTGGATACCAGCTGTGTGGGTCCCTGCTCTGCTGCCTGTCACCTTTCTGAGTCTCAGCTTGTTCAGGTATAGAATGGAGATGATGTTCCCTTGGATGGAGTGCTGGTGTAGGGATGGAGTTTATGGGGCCTTTGAGGAATTGCTTCTCTTCTGAATCTGATGTGAAGGTGAATCAGCTGTGAGGCAGACAGGCAGGGGCCCTGTTTTTCCTCTAATTTCTTCGTGGACAGGAGAGTAAGTACAGGGATTATATTTTTCAAACTGAAATTTGAAGCAGATATGCTCTGACCATGGGACAAAACATTTGAAAGAGGACCATGAGGGCCTTCAAAATGAGACTTGAGGGTAAGAACCCATGCAGGACAGGAAGTTCTTTAGGTGTCTTTGGAGTTGGGGAGCAGGAAGAAATAGGAGAGGTGCCAAGAAAGGGGTGCTAGTTTCCTAGGCTGTTGCACAAATTACTGTCAACTTGGTGACTTAAAACAACAGAAATTTATTCTTTCACAGTTCTGGGGCCTGCGAGTCTGAGCTCAAGGTTTTGGCACAGTTATATTTTGTCTGGAGGTGCTTGGGGAATCCTGCCTTGCCTCCTCCTAGCTTCTGGTGGTGCCAGGACTTCTTTGTTTGAGTGCTGAATTACCAATCTCTGCTTATATCTTCACACAGTGTCTTCTCTCTGTCATCTCTGTGGCTTCATCTCTTCTAATAAGAATACCAGTCATTGGATTTAGGTCTTAGCATACAAGCAGTATGGTATCATCATGAGATCCTTAACTAATTATATAGTGAAATTTCTACTTCCAAATAAGGTCACATTCTGAGGTTCTGGGTGGGCATAAAACTTTGTAGGACCACATTCAATTCTCTACAGCAAGGCAAGGAAACAGCCGAGGGTCCTTTAGAATGAATGTGAGGAGCTGGGGTGGGGCGGCCATGATAATTTTGAGCTCTTGAGTTTAGGGTCCACCCCAGCTCTCTAGGTATGTCCACAGTGGGTGCTTTGGGAGGCTGTGCTGGGATTACACCCACCCTCTTCCTAATTTCTACCCACTTCCAGAATGCCAACCTGCAGTCTGCCATCAGTGATGCTGAGCAGCGTGGGGAGCTGACCCTCAAGGATGCCAAGAGCAAGCTAGATGAGGTTGAGGATGCTCTGAGAACAGCCAAGCAGGATATGGCCAGGCTGCTTCGAGACTACCAGGAGCTCATGAGCACCAAGCTGTCCCTGGACGTGGAGATCGCCATGTACCGAAGGCTGCTGGAGGGCGAGGAGTGCAGGTGGGGCAGCTTGGATGGACCTGGGGATATGGGTGTGTGTGGGCGTGCGCGATATGGTATCAAGGAATGGCAAGACAGAGAGTGCTCCCCTTGCTAATTCGGACTGTGAGAGATTTCCTGTGGGTCCCTAAGGGCATCCAACTCTGCTGTGTGGGAATTTAGCTGAGAAGGTAGCTGAGCTGCTCCTAGAGAAGGGAGGCTGAAGCAGGAGAATGGCAAGTTTGAGCCCAGCCTGTACAAGTTACCAACTTAGATCCTGTCTAAAAAACAAATTTTTTAGACACCTGGGGATGCATTCTTTGCAGCCTTTCTCACTTCTTCTTGTCCTTTCTCCCTCAGGATATCTGGGGAGTGCACCAGCCAGGTCACTATCTGTGAGTATCAGGGGACTTTTAGAGTGGGAACCCCATGGGTGCTGAGGACACTTCCGAGACTCTGGTGCATTTTTTGCAGCCACAATGGGAGGCAGTACCATTGTGCCTGGAGGAGCTGGTGGCAACCAAGGGGGCACTTGTGAATTCAGAGGTGGGAAAGGCAGCTTTGGATCCAGCTGCTCCAGTGTCGTGACTGGAGGCTTTGGCAACACCCTGGGCTCTGGTCAAGGCCCTACTTTGGGCTCTTGCTCTGTGTCTGGCTCTGGCTTCAGCTCTGGCTCCAGCTCCAGCCACCATACCATCCTGAAGGAGACAGTGGAGTCAAGTCTGAAGACATCCATCAAATACTGAGTGACCTGGTGACCACCTCCTTCCTGGACCCATCAGCTCTGCTCCTACCCTGTCCTCTGGCTCTGCATAGCCAGCCCTGAATCACTGCCCACCTCCCAAGCCAGCCCAAGGGGATCCTGAGAAAGTCAATAAAGTCCCACCCACCTGCTGTCCTGAGCACCTGGGCCTGTTGGTCTTGCTCTGTCTGGGGATTTGCATCTCATTCATGTGCTACCCCCCACCTCCTGTCATGCTGCATGATGCCCCATCCTCCAGCCAGCCAACCACATTCTCTCCCCTCTGCATCGCCTTTAGGCTGAGCTAGAAAACCTGCTGGCTGACTTGGACAGACTGCACCTCACCCCAGAGATTGTCCTTTAGGGGGAGGGGAGAAGTCCAAGACTCACTGACCAAGGGCTGAGGGTTGGAGCCAAGGGATGCCCCCTCCTGCCCTCTTTCCCCTCTCTGGGGCTCTGCTTCTCTAGCTCTCCATGAGGTGACACAGCACTCATTCTCCCTGTGTAGGTATTTCTTTGTCTCTGTCCCTCTTCCCCTCTCCCACAACTATTCAGGGAGAACCATACTGAGGCTCTGTGCTAGGACTGGGGCTACTCAGGCAAGGGTCGTGTGATGTCTCACCCACCCTGCCAACTTCTGGTGTCTCCAGCACCATCTATCCCACCTATGGGAGCCAGAGCTCCTTTCTCAGAGTTCTCAGCAGCTGGGCCAGAGGCTAGCCTCCTGGGAGTAATTCAGATCCTCTGTGCTGGGAAATGGGGATTTGTGGAAGGTCCTTTTGTGTCCTGTCTCTTCTTCTAGTCCTATTACTGTGACACCCTGTGCCAGCTCTATCCAGGCCAGCAATCCTGGTATTATTATCTCTATCATTTTTCATTTATAAAGCTTAACCTGGCCCTTACAGTCCAGGATAGAAATGCCTCAGCAGGTGAACAGTTTAGCACAGATGCTAAGCAATAGCCTTTGAATATGGGTCCTTTACAGGAGAGGCCACAGACCAGAGACAAAGGTTCCCTATGGCAATTTGCAGTGTTTCTTCTCCTTTTTCCAGAAGTTCAGCTTGCATACCTTGCATACCTCACTCAGTAAAACAAAAGCTGTGCACCTCCTCAACCTGCTCTCCTGAGAAGGCAGTTTGTGGAATATCTATGGTGCCCAAGTGTGTCCCATGGCATCTCACTGAGATCCCAGTAAGATTGTCAAAGGAGTTCTTCCAGCGTGCTCCTTGAATGCTCCCCATCTCCGTCTCTCCTGATGTTTCAGTGGCTCTTGTGACTTGTTCACTTGTCAACTGGCTGCTATGACAGGTTCTAGTCCTGACCTGGGGCAGACAGTAGCCTTCATCTCTTCTCCCTCCTCCTCCTCCTCCTTCTGTCTGCACTAAATTTTTCTCTTCCTGGAAATCTTTCCTGATTCTCCATATCTGCTGGACACTGCCCATCCCCAGGGCAATTGGGCTGCATCTGTTGCCATCCTGGGCTCTGTCAAATTCTGGCTGGAGTAACAGCTCCTGTGTTAGCCTGGGACCTTTGGGGAGGTACTTCTGTGTACAGGAAGGGTATCTCAGCCCGGCTGGTGCCTTGAAGCTGAAACTGTCCTCCTACCCCATTCTCCTTTGGCTTCCATCCCATTCCCAGGCCTGTCTGAACAACAGGTTGGAAATGTCCCCTCCTTTTCTCTCTTATCAGGAAGCACTGCAGGAAGCCAGGAGCATGGGAGTCAGGGTCGGGGTTGGGAGGGGCTGGGAGAAAAGCCTTCTCCACCCTCCCAGACTGCAGCGTGGGCTTCTGCCTTTTCTTCTTTCCTCCCGCCTTTCCACCCCTGGGTGGGGACCTGGCATAACCCTAGCTCTGCAGCCTGGGCTGTGGGTTGTCATACCATTCCTCTCCTGCTTTAGCGGGGAGGCAGCCCTTTTCTCAGATCCACAGGTCTCTCCATCAGTGATCCAAGAAGAAGGGTTTCAGCCTTGTGCAAAGGAGACGTGAGTGGCTGAGAATGGGAACCTCCAGCTGGAACCCTTGGGCTTGAATCCCAGCCCTGCCATTTCCCAGTGGTATGTCTTTGATCAAGTGACTTAACCTCCCCACTCTTAGGGCCTTCTCTACAGTAGAGATTTATAACAATATCTGCCTCACAGGGTTGTGTGGGACTGTACCAGTCAGCATCCCCAGAGGAAATAAATTCACCTGAGATAGCTCAATTAAATTGATTTTTTAAAAAAGAGGATATGTTCTGTCTTCTTTTTTCCAGTAAAGCACTGATGGTCTTTCTTCAGTGTTGAAGGACTCGGCTTCTTACACAGGCTCTGGTGGGGGCTGCAGGTGGCACCTTCGGGACTGCATTGGAACAGAGTTGTTTGGCCCTTAGAGGCTTTACTGGATCCATTCCTGAGCATTCTGCTGTGAATGAACAACTTGGGCAGCAAGGCAGCTGCACTCACAGTTCAGGAAGCACACAGACGTCATGGACATTTGATTGAAGAATGTCCCTGATGGCTGTGGCATCTGCCATATTTAAAATGATGAACTTCTTAATGGCCTTGTCTTGGGGAATGTGCTGATTTATGCAGTGAATTGTGTGTGGCCCTGGCTCCTTTTGGCATGGCCATTGTTACTTGTTTTCTTCGTCATCCTGGAAGTGAGGGCCCAAGAAAGCTAAATTGACTTTAATGAAAGGATTACTGTAAATGTGTGTGTGGGCTTGATAAAGGAACTGGAGCTCAGAGACCAACAACAGAGGACCAGCCCTTGAGCGGTCAGTGTACCATTTGTCCAAGACCAAGAGGACTTTCAGTGCTAAAACAAGAACAGTCTTGAGACTATCAGGACAAATGGGCCATCCCATGTAGAGCTGAAGAGACAAGAGAAGTAGACTGAATGGTTAATGGAGTTTCTGGAGCTGTGGAAGAGGGAGCCCCTGCTGGAGCTGTAATTCTGTAGAGAAGAATCAGGGAAGAATCCTCAACCTCTCTCCTGCTCTAATCTTCAGCCTGCGTCTCTTTGTGGTCAACCCGATTGGAAGCAGAGGGCAAGGGGGCAGCCCACAGGGTGAGAGGAGGGTGGAACAGAGCTCTGGGGTGGGCTGGTGGAGCATAGCCAGTGTGGAGGAGAAACGTGTTATTGCATGACAGATGCTTAGGCCACTCTGAGACAATAAATGCCTACTAACAATAAGGATTCTTAGATTAGAAAGTTCTACTTCTCTTTGGGGCTCCTCACCCCATGACTTCCCTATTGCTCAGTACCCATGCTGGCCCACATTCTCAGGCTAGCCAGGTTAGGGGCTCAGTTGTTTTCAGCTGCTTTGCTCCATTCTTTTGGCTGTGGTGGAGACAGGATTCAATGCCCTCTGCTCTTGTGTACTGCTAGCTGCAAGGGACTCCAGGCAAGTGACAGTCTCCAGACCTGGGCCTCTTGGTGCCAAGCAGCAGCACGTGGCAGCTCTCCCTCACCATGGAGGCCTAGAGGGGAGGAAAGCACTCCTCCTTGGGCTTCTTACGTAGTATTTGTGGGTGGCCATTGATCCAAAAGACCAAACTAACTCCATGCAACTATAGTAGATGAGCACTAGGTGATCATAAGAGGCTCTGTAACCAGTTAACTGATGAAGTTGTCTCTACAGTGCACTTCCTTTTCCCATAAATGGTGTCAGATTGTGTAATTGATTGGAGTCCTCTAAACCTGGTTTAGTTCTGAGGGGTGTCTGAGTTGCAAAATCATTTAATGTTTTACTTTGTTCTGTTCTGTTTATAACTGCTTAAATAAACTCTACTAATTTAAAAAGTCTGAGTGCTCCCCGCTCTGTTTTTGGTGCTGGAGATCAAACCCAGGGGTGTTTTACCACTGAGCTACACACCCAGATCCTTTTATTTTCATTTTGAGACAGAGTTTTGCTAAGTTTCCCAGGCCAGGATTGAGCTTGTGATCCTTCTGCCCCAGCCTGTCAAAGTTCTGAGTTTATGACTATTTCCCATTAAGGAGCTGCAGAAAGAGGGTCTGAGCTTGAGTGTCTGAGAACAGAGTGGAGAGAAAGGGCTGGAGGAGGTTGAGAGGCCACCGTAGCCCTGTCAGGGTTGAGCTGGGGAGTGGTCCACCTGGGTGGGAGGGAGGTTGTCTCTGAGCAGCAACAGGGTGCTCCAGAGAGTGACCCTGAGTTGCTGTGTGCCTGTCATAAGCCCCCAGCACAAATCCTGTCAGTGTGCTTGGTGAATATGTGAATGAGTTGTGTGTGTGAATATGTGAATGAGTGTCTGGGGTGGGGTGTATTTGTGTTTACAGCCCAGTTCCCACTCCCACCACCCCAGCTGCCTGGTGACTCAGAGGCCTGACATCACTCTCTTGCCCAGGGATCCACAGCACACCCCGGAGACTAAGGTCCCACTCAGATGTCTCCCTCCCACACCCCTCCCCATGAAAAGATAAGGGAGGGTGAGAAAGTGGTCCTAGCCTGGGGAGAGGAGACAAAGGTTGGTAGGGAGAGATGGCTCAGTCCAGGACCTCAGGTATCGTGTTTTCAAAAGACTTTTGTGGTGGGCTGTTCTTATAGTCAGAAGAGTTGATTTTTTTTTTTTTTTTTGGGTACCAGGGATCGAACTCGGGTCCTTGAGCTTGCTAGGCAGAAGAGTTGAGACCCATCTAGGTTGAGAGTTGCCTAAGGACACATAGCTCAGTGAGGATTCATCTCTGAGCCCATCTTCCCAAACTGCTTGGTACTCTAACTCAGAGCAGGGAGGACAACCTGTTGGGCACTGAAGGACTAATTCTCTGAGTGCACCTTAACCCATCCCTTGAGGGAGTCAATTTCAGCTTCTTCAAGCAATTGGAAGCCACTTACAGCTTCCCGCTGGGCCTAGGAAAAGATCTCAGAGCCTCTTCAGGAATGGGAGGGGGTTCTTTCTCTGTTTGCCTTCCCTGGGCTGATGGAAGGTGCTGCCTCTGTCGGGGTCCCATGCCTCTGTGTTGGGATCTGGGGGAGACAAACTGGCTGACATCCCAGATCCAGCCTGATGGGGTATATGGGGGTACAGCAAGTGGGTCCCTGCTCCTTCCCTGAGGCTAGTCTGTCCTCTCCGGGGCCATTCTCCTACTGAAAGCTGAAGGGAGCAAGACGGGCCAGACTGTAGGTCACCTCCCAGTCATCTGGAGCCCTACCTTTGTAGTTTC